ATCCAAAAGAGAAGGGAGGCGAATTCTAGTCCTGCTTGGTGGGGTGGGGTGGGGGGGACATACCACAATACCAGAGGGATTATATAGGCTTGTAGTGTTAGCAAAAATGTCAGCTCTCTATTTTGCTGCTCAAATGTCTTTATTGTGAAATGAATTATAGGGAAATGGCTGAAAAGTTCAAATTCAGAAACGATTAAAATCGTCTCAGCCATAGAAAACTTCAAATTCTCCCACTTCATTGCAAAGGAAACACAAAGCAACTGGGGAGAAATGTAATAAATTGCGCATTGTTTGCATATTTTCTGGATCGGTTTCTGTTCTGGACATGAAACTGGATTTTCCACTCCCATTTCCATCAGAATTCTCTGACATCCCTAATGGACACACATCAGGGACAAAAATCCAGGGAAAATGAGGATAACATTTACATGTAGAAACTGATTCTCATTCCTACAACAATTCCCTAACAAGGGGGACAATATTTCCAGTGTAACTTTCCCAATTTAGAGCTTGGTTGGCCACTGTAGGAATAGGGCTGTTGGGCTTGATGGGCCTTTGGCCTTAATCTAGCAGCGATCTTCTAATGTTCTTATGCTGCTATGGAATTGGATCCAGAAATGCAGCCCAAGGAACAGGTTGTTGTTTTTTAAAAGGTGGCTGGTGCAGTTATACGAAGCCCAATAGAGCAGTCTCCAGTATTAGTCTGTTATTTAATTGAGTTCATTCTCTCAGCAGTTTCCCCAGAACTGCTGAGCAAATAATGGATGAAGGCTCGGCTGACAAGTCTGGTAGATTTATGTATTAGTAAACCATCCAGATCAGCATTCCTTGAAATGGGTTTTTTAAAAAGAAAAACCAGACACTTAACATATTCACAGTTGCACACAAGTTGTTGTTTTTTTGGCAACTGGTGTTGCTGCATCAGGCAGTGCAAATCTAGGGCTCAGCTAATATGGCTGTTGCTTTCTTTGCAGCTTAAAGTAGTATATCTGGTTCGGATCCTATGTGTTCCTAGTGGCACTGTCAAAAGCATGGATGGGGAAGCTGGGTTCCTCCAGATGTTGTGCTGAACTACAACTCCCATCATCCCTGACCACTGGCTATGCTGGCTGGGGCTGGTGAGTCCAACAACATTCAGAGAACCACAAGCTTCCCACCCCTTATCAAAAGCATGATAATAGAAGTAGAAAACAGAGCAGCCCATGATAGACTTGATAGGGTTTCTATCAATTCTGCCACCACCTACATGCCATGATGTTGCTCCTGATGATGGTTGCACTAATCAATAAGCAGCAATATGCAGAAATGCCAGGATGATGCCCCTTAAGCCATTCTATGCCCCTTCTACTTGCTGCCAGGAAGAATCCAGTGCATAGCTGATGCTGTAGTCCGGTCATTAGGATATATGGTACCCATCAGAACTCCCTTCAGGGAACAGTTAAAAGTTCCCAGACACTCAGGACACAAGTTGGTGCTGTGGAACAGGAAGGAGGAAGTACAATTCCCAGCTGCTTCTTTTTATTTAAAGCAAGAGTGAGGACAACCAGGACAAGTTGGTTTATCACAACACTGCTGGCTACTGCTCCATACAAAGCCCATTGAGTCCTGGTCTATGCAGCTAAATTGTGATTTGGGGGATTATAAAGTCTGTACATATGTCTTTTACTTGCTTGTTCCTGTAGCAGGCCATTGATGTGTAGTGAATCAAGTACACTCAAACCTCAGGTGTTGAACGTCTCGGCAGCTGAACGCCGACAACCTGGAAGTGACTGCTTCCATTTTTGAACATGAGGTGCATTTCTCATTTTTAAAAAATTAGATTTGCCAGCCTCCCTTTGATCCTCGGTTTTCAAACGTTTCGGAAGTCGAATGGATTACGTTCCAAAACCAAGGTTTCACTATACTGAATAGGCATTAGCCTTTGACTCCAACCTTCATTATTTTTTTGTATCCAGTAGCACTGTGGGTTGTTATTGCTAGGCAGCCAAAAGGTGGTCAGTTCAATGTTTTCCCATGGCAGGTATGTCCCGCAGCTTCTTAGCATAGTTCTGCTCTTCCTAGTCCATCACAGAATCATAGAATTGTAGAGTTGGAAGGGAGTTTGAGTTTCATCTAGTCCCCCCAACCCCCACAATGCAGGAATCTCAACACATAGCCCCACATCCAATTTGAAACCATACCAAACCCTGCTTAGCTTTGCTATTGTCATCTGGCAGAAGCTTGCTCCCCAGTGCAATGCTACTGTTTGAAGTGTTTCCATGACAGCTTCACTTCTACAACAGGACTTCAGCCGTTCTCTGCAGCACCAAGGGGGTTTACACTCATGCTTCTTCCTGACACAGTAAAGGCATGCAAGTTTTTCAATATCAGCCTTCCTCAAACTGAAGCACCCCAGAGATCTTAGACTACCACCCTCATCAGCTCTAGCCATCAGGGCAATGATCACAAATAATGTGGAGTCCAAAAAATAAAAAAAAATACAAATCTAGAGCATGTGTGTGGAAGGAGATTGGAAAAAGCCACCTGTTTGCCTGGGGGAATGATGGCTATTTTCCGTGTTTTGCAGCCAGGTGATTTGAACCCCTGTATGCACATAGCCCTAAAGTCTGTTAGTTGCACAGCTCCTGTTTGCTATACCACAGAGGTCTATCCTAAGGAGTATTATGGTGTCTTTTAACAGTTGCATTCTGTTTTGCATATGTGGTGTGTAGGGTGATGGCCTGAGTTTGTTCTTCTGTCACCATGCATTCATTGATTGGTTCCTTCCATGCATACCTGCCAATGTTGCTGCATTATCACTTGTTTCCACTGGTATTGTTTGACTGGTTTGCCTAGCTGCTGGCAGTGCACAGGATCAATTGACATTATGTATACATTATGTTTGGACTGATCTACACAGCTGCAAATAGAACGTTTTAAGTGTTGTAAAGTGCAATATACAAATGTGACACCAGATGGTGACAGTGGGCTATGCAAAATTCAATGTATTTTTCAAAATGTTTAAAAAAAGCATTTTCACAGCGTTTTTTTAATTGTGTATAGATTCCATCTTGGTATAGCTGATGTAGTGAGTCTGCAGTATGGAGCCTCCTTTCCATGTCTTTGTCTGGACTTCTCTTTTTCTCTTTCTCATCTTTCCTTTGGCACCTTGCATTACCCATTCTTGGCAATCTTATTCATGTTCATAGTTTTGACATATTTCGAAGTTATTAAAAAACTCTTTCACCACTGGTGGTAACAATCATACTTCAAACATTTCTTTTTTAACTAAAACATATCTTAAGATTTCTGTCTGATGCTCTGCCCAGAAGCTAGTCAACCACATTCATATTTGGATGGCATAACAATGCATGTGTCTTAGTTGAAGCTATCACCAATTCCCTTGCAACAAGTGGCATTTATATGCACTTATCAAATCCACTAAAGTAACCAACTACGGTAAATTTTACTAGCCAGCTTCCTTTACACCTATTTGTGTCAGCCATTTAAAGAGAACCAACTTTTGTAAGGTTTTCTTGCTTGGGCCCTGTGGTGGGAGACGAAGCAAGTGAACATGTAAGTTGTTATTTACATTAGTCTGCTCCATCTGGAGTAGGGCTGCCATATTTCAAATAGTAAAAACCAGGACACCAAAAGAACAGAAATTCCCCCCAATGTCAATTTCGCCTTTGAAATCCTGGTAATGTCCAGGAAAATCTGGACATATGGCAGCCCTAATATGGAGCCATGCTTGCAGTTCTATAAATATAAAGTCCAGAGCATAATAATCTTCATTTTGGTGGATGGGTGGATATGAAAAGTAGTGAATTTAAAAATAGAGACAAACATTACTTTATCAAGTAAAAATATATTATAAACAAACAAATTCTAATGCATTCATGTAGATGTATAGTTTTATAGATAAACCAGAAACCCATACTTGATATTTTGAATATTGTGTGTATAGTATACAATACCACATGAAGTTACTTTGCACTCTGAGTACATCTTATGATTTGCAAATAGATATTACAAAAGTTACTCCACACTTTGGAGAGCAGGCAATTAAACTTTTTTTTTTTTTTTGCAATAAACTTTGTGCCAAATTAGTTATATAAACTATTGGAACAAATGGTTACAAAATACAAACAAGACCAATAATTGTGTATTGATGAAGGGTATTTTTTTTATAAAAAAAGTAAGTGGCTCATGATTTTTGTGATTAAATGGACACTTGTGTACTTCTTGATGTCTACTGTGTAAAATGGGATTATTTTAGAGCCCTCATTTGTTTGCATTGGAGATATGAAACGCTTAACACTTGTATGAATAGGTTAAACGGCTTTATACCCATGCACATGATGAATGTCTTACTTAATATAAAGACCCTACATAGAGGGAGCCATAACAGGGAGCAGCCTTGAGGCTCATTTAAGTGAGATATACTTTTTACAATCATTATTTCACAAAAAAGATTTTAAATTATATAATGGAACCACTTCAAGTCATATTTTCTTCTAATATATAATTATTTTACTGTATGAAAAGTTATAGAAATCAATCCCACTGTCATGGAGCTAGATAGAAAAATAAAAGCAGTCAACAAAACCTGAAGGTTAGAATAATACCATTTCAGTTACACAACCCTTTTTTTGTTATACATCGGTTAAGGAATGGTTTTCTGTGAAACTCCATTTGCTTATAACTTTGAATAAAGAGAGACAAATGAGTCATCTCGGCTATACAAGTGTAAATCTGAAATAACTCCATTGAAGTCATGGACTTGGACTGGTGCAATCAAGTTCATTATTGTAGTTAAAAGCCAACACTAAGCCTATTGCCCCCAAGTACACTAAAGAGTGTCCGCCATTAATGCAATGGACTTCTAGTGTTAAACCCCAGGGAAGAAAACTCTGGTCTTCATATCAAGTTGGATGCAACTCAGAGTTTATGAGAAGTGCTCGAAAATAAATTACTGCAGGACATTAGAAAACAAACAAACTGCCTCCCCCCACAAGTTACTAATGCCAGTCAAAGGAATGATTAATCATTCTGTAAAAATTTGCATTGTGCTCTCTGAAGTAGGAGTAAAGTTGTTCTAAAACAGTACTGTTGACAACAGGATGTGGCCGTCCTTTTGATTCATGTAAACATCTCTCTCTTCCATCACTCCTAATGCAATAGAACCCCTTGGTCTGGTTAAAATAAAAATTTGAAGACATAATTCTGGATGGCAGGTTCAGAAATCTTTCCACTTTTTGTAATTCAGGAAGAGGGTCCTTGATCAAGGTATTTCCATCTACTATGTGAATCTGATCCAAATGGAAATGTTTAAGCCACCTCTCCATGTGGATGTCATACAGACTTCTCTGGATAGCCTTGTATTTGGTATTAAGTGCTCCATTTTTAATAACAATGTCTTCAAAGAGCTGAACAGGCTTGTGGCTTTCCAGCCTGTTGTAATAGACTTGGGTATAATCAGAGATAACTCTCTCTGTGGGGTCTCTTAGAATAAGCAGCAGTTTAATGGAACTATTCATATCATGAATCCTTTCGGGAGCCTGTGGCGAGGTAAAATAGCCTGGTGTTTTCTCAATAGTTATTTGATTTTCATATGAAAACGGCATCAGGCCCCTGTACCAGTCAATTCCTTTCACGTAATTCTCATCCCAGTCAAAGAAGTGGACTTCAGTAGCCGCTACCACAATGTTTGGGTGAACATCCAACATTTCAAGTAAGGCCCTGGTCCCTCCTTTGCGAACTCCGATGATGATTGTGTGAGGTATTCGTCTGCTCGTTCCGGGAGGTCTCACTTGTGCTGAATAGTGTTCACTCTTATTGCTGAACAGCATCACTTGGGACTTCAGCGTCTCCATGAGAGCCCCGTTCTCAACTGGAGCGCCATGGGCATGAGTCAGCAGAAGGTATGCTGACACCAGTAGAAAGGCCATGTGGAGAAGAAGGAACTCTCAGTGCAAAATGCAGTTGTGCTGGTCTGGTGAAACAATGAGCACGTGTCTCCGCAAGGAGGCAGCTGATGGAACCGGGGCCAAAGCAGCAACAAATTTCTCAAGCATCTGTGGGTCAGAAAGAACAGGACAGCAATCAGCATCTTGTTTAGCTGAACTCTATAGCAAAAGATTTGCATATGGAAACTGAAACCTCTAAAAAGCCATGACAGAAAAAACATACATATAGAAATAGTGAGGCTTGTGCTTTCACCTGCAAGTTTTGAAGGCAAGTGAGGCTTGGTCACTTTGTTCTAAATAGTACCACTTCACAGACCAGGGATGGGGAGACCTTCTCAGCCCAAGTGCCACATTCCCTTCTGGGCAACTTTCTGAGGGACAAAAGTGAGGGCTACAGCAATAAATGTAAATTTTTACCATTCTACAGTAAGCTAGTTTCTACACACACTCACAAACCACTTTCTTGGCTACACTGAAACAAGTACCGTATTTTTCGCCCTATAGGACGTACTTTTTTCCCTCAAAAAATGAAGGGGAAATGTGTGTGCGCCCTATGGGGCGAATGCAGGTTTTCGCTGAAGCCTGGAGAGTGAGAGGGGTCGGTGCGCACCGACCCCTCTCGCTCTCCAGGCTTCAAGAAGCTATCCGCAAGCCTTGGGAGCCCGCAGGACAGCAGCCTGCAGCCCAAAACCTGGGGAGCACAGTGGAGCGCGCCCCGGGCAAGCCTTGGGAGCCTGGTGCGACTTCCCACCGGGCTCCCAAGGCTTGCGGACAGCAGCCTACAGCCCGAAACCTGGGGAGCACAGTGGAGCGCGCCCCGGGCTTCGGGCAGACATCTGCAAGCCTGGGGAGCCCGCGGGAGTTCCTGCAGGGCTCCCTAGGCTTGCGGATAGCAGCCTGTTCTGGGGGCTGGGGTCGGGGGAAGCTCGGGCTTCCCCCGCCCCAGCCCCACGCCTGGGGGGGAAATAATTTTTTTCCCTTTATTTTCCCCCCAAAAAGTCCTGTGGGGCAAAAAATATGGTAAGAGGCGTTATTAATGTTCAAGGACACAGGCCAGTCGAGCAAAAGTATTTGGGATGTGAAACAGGGTTTGTGTGGCCTAGAGAGAGAGTTCTGAGGCCAGATAGAGAGAACCTGAGGGCCAAGTTTGGTCCCTGGGCCCTGAGCAGCTGACAGAATGAAAAAAAGGCAAAAAATAAAATTATTCATTTATTGGGAAATCAAGAACCCTGTAAACATGTTGAAGTGGGGCTGTTCAGCAAGTCTTACTTAGTCTTCCTCCCCAAAAAACTTCCTCCCAAAAAAGAGACCAGAGTAATTATTTTTTTCCTTTTGGATCTAATGGGAGACCTACATATCATATCACAAACAGCTTTCAATCATCTCCAAAATATTCATTTTCTCTGTTGAATGAGGGAGGCTGCCATTTAAGAAATAAGCTCAAGCTCCCTTGGATGTGTTGAACTTGTTGTGCAGTTCCCATCCAGAGTTTGTACGTAATTACAAAGTTTATCATCCAGTTTGATGTTCAGCAACTGAGTCCTTTCATATATTCACGTGTTTCCTACTAAATATGTTCAACATATTAAAGTTATAGACATATTTGTTTTGTGTTCTATTGTTTTGTACAGTTAATCCGTTCACCAATTTTTTGTTCCCTACTATGCTAGAAATCCCTGGGGAATTATTTCCACCCCTTATTGAAATTTAGACTTGCAGTGTATGAACAAAGTTATGAGCACCTTGAACTGTCAAGACAATACTCTTTAGGAGAGTTGGCTGTATTCTATTGTTCATTTCTCCTATTATTTTCAACCTCTATGATCATTAGTTAACATTGCAATAGAAGTTCAATGGATCTAGCCCCTCAGGAGGATATAACTGTCTTTGGCATTGCAAGTTGGTAGTTTTTAGAAGTTTCTCCATGTGGTAGGTCACAGGCTCAGAGAATAAGACCCACACAAAATGTCAACACAAAGAATCCCTCATCTGTTATTTTGGGAAGGTTACATTTTCAATTTCAGCAGGTCAGGTTGAGACTGTAGCTCTGTTGAAGGTGTGAAGCAAATGATAAAATAGCAATAGGTAAAAGCTAACTTGGTTCCAACTACCTGAACAATAGTCCAAAGATAATGCCAGCTGTCAAGCAGTGAATCTTTTGTTTGTGCAGCTTGAAAATTTGTATATTTATGCAAAATGAAAGGCACTTCTTTGAAATGGAAATAAATGCCATGTTTTAAAAAAATAATGACAATTTTCCAAAGGAAGATGGAAATGCCATTGAAAACAATGTTCAATCATTGACTTTAAGTGTAAACAAGATCTGGTTTCATATTGATTCACAATGTCCTAATTAAGTCTATGGAAAGGCAAATCATTACACATGGGAAAACAGTTCCCTTTCAATATCTAGCACTATGGAAATGAAATGATTCTTAGTCAGACTAAGCAAGTATTCTTGCTGTAATAAGGAATATTTTACTTCCACTCCACAGGCTGTAACACACATTTTAGAAACTCAAATTATTATTTACTGAACATCATCATTAATGTTAGCACAAAATGTTTACTCACAATCATATGTGTACTGATACAAAATATTGACTGCAAGTGTCATCTGTAAACACACTGTGCTTGAGAACAGCTTTGTGTCTTATCTGAAATTCCTCTCTCTCACACACACACCTTACAGTACTGAGCGCACACACAGCTATGATATGCCTTTCATCAGTTTTGGCTGGTAGCCCAGAAGTGGCATAGCGTGAGTTGCCAGTGCCTAGGACAAGACGCAAAAGGGGGCGGCATCACCATGGGAAAGGGGGCTAGCACATCGCAGTGGATCCTCCTCCCCCAATTTTTAGCACAACCTCTGAGATGCGGGCTCTCCCAGGTGGTGCTGGACACAGACTCCAACTGCCCAACTGGAGCCCCTCCGTCGCTGTGGCTCACCCTGCACCAGCCATTTCAGCTCTCTATAGGATATTCACAGGAAGCTTTGCCAGTGCAGCCTAAGAGCTGGTGCACTGTCAGTCAAGGTTCACACAGCTGACACTCTGGCAGTGTCCCAACATCCCTGCAACTGCCTGCTCCCATACGGAGGCCTGGACTGGGGGCTCTGTGATGCCACAGGGGCCCTGTTTGCCTTTGTCCCAAAGTGGGGGCAGGAGAGAGCCAAGGGGACCAACTGGCACAGAAGTAATCCAGGGTGCATGCAGTGGTGGCAGCCATAGCATGTGAGAAGCATGTGGTGCATGGTGCCTCTGAGCAAAGGATGTGGAACTAAGGTGCTGAAAGGAGTGGGCAGCAAGATACCTGGCTGCCTGAGAAACGCTCATACTGTGTTGCTGGACTAGGAAAGGGATACATCTCCCTCCCAGTTTTGCAGCACCTTTGGGACCGCTGCAGTGCAGTGGTGTAGCTTGGGTTGCGCCCCTAACAATTTTTGTGCCTGAAGCAACTGCCTCTGGGCCCCCTCTCACATGAACACCAATGGGCCCAGCTGCACTCCTATCTGGACAGGAATAATAATAATAATTTTATTATTTATACCCTATCCATCTTGCTGGGTTTCCCCAGCTAGTCTGGGCGGCTCCAGGCAGAATAATAAAAACACAATAAAACATCAAACATTAAAAACTTCCCTAAACAGGGCTGCATTCAGATGTCTTCTAGAAGTCAAATAGTTGTTTGTTTCTTTGACATCTGAAGGGAGAGTGTTCCACAGGGACGACGCCACTACCGAGAAGGCCCTCTGCCTGGTTCCCTGTAACTTTGCTTCTCACATTGAGGGAACTAGCAGAAGACCCCTGGAGAAGGACGTCAGTGTCCGGCCTGAGCGATGGGAGCGCAGATGCTCCTTCAGGTATTCTGGACTGAGGCCATTTAGGACTTTAAAAGTCAGCACCAACACTTTGAATTGTGCTCAGAAAAGCACTGGGAGTCATATAGTGGTGTTTTATTATTTAATATTTTATACGTGTTTTTATCATTTTTAGTTGTTTTAAAGTTTTCTGCACTATTGTTTTTTGTTGCTGGTTTTATTTTGATGTTCTTTTATTGTAATTAAACACATGCACACACTGTTTATATGGTATTTTATGTCCATGCTTTATTTTTATACTTCCAGTTTTTCACTTCTATCTGCATTGTCCAGATAACATTTTCTTAAAGAGCAGTAAAAAGGTAAAAGAGCAGTACAGTAATGCAAATAAATAAAGGATGACTTTATTTGTATCCTGCCTTTCTTCCATAATGAAAATTAAGGCAGAATGCATGGGGTTCCCATCCTGGCTCTGACCAGACCCAGACCAAGAAGATGGTCCTCAGACCATGACCCACTTGCAGTTTCTTTGTAAATGAAAACTGTGATTCCCAGTATGTTTTGTGCTTCCATAGGCTAACCATGGAAGTATGAAATACATTCAGTCCTTGGACTCAGCTATACAGCAATAAATAAAACATTTTAAATGTTTTGTAAGGTGCAATATACAAATGTGACAATAGACAGTGACAGTGAGCTATGCCAAATTCAGTGTATTTTTCAAACCTTTTTTTTTTTTTTAAGTATTTTCACAGCAGTTTTTATATGTGTGTAGATTCCACCCTTGTCACAGACAGCTCTAGCAAGTTTGCAGATTCATTTATTATTCTATATGGCAAAAGTTGCTGCTGAAATAAAACATTACGTAGGAATATATTATGAGGGATAATCTGATTCGGAATGCATTATAGAGCTGAAGACTAAATGGATCAAAACTGCCTGTGGGAGCAATTCCATTGAAACAACCATTCCAGATTCAGCCTAAGAGAATTGATTGATTTTGATGAAGCTCAGAGATGTTAGTTCCTGTGGTTATGTTATAATTGATATGTGACTATAAAGACGGTTTAAACTAGATTTAGATTACAATCCTATTACTTAGGAGTAAGTCCCATTGAACTCAATGGGGCTTACTTCTGAGTAGACATGTGTAGGACTGTGC